TACATGAAGGTGATGGGCGAGAGCCAGCTCCTGCTTATCGAGGAACATCTTGGGTATCTTCCGCCCTGGTACTCGTATCCACGTCCTCTGTCTGGGCAGCGAAAACTTTGCTGATATGTGACTCGGTCGAAATGACTTTTTTTGCCCCCCCCCTGTATATAGAAGGGGAAAATCGGGAAAAGGCAACAATAGAAAGTATTTTTACCCTCGTACCTCCAGCGATCAATTACCTGAATACGACCGCCTCGCTGGGGATACCAGTGTTATCCAGTTGTTTCCTTTTGACTGCGCTCGTGCTGGCACGACGAATTTCTGACAATTTTCTTCTTTTTGCATATTCTCTATCGCAGAGTGCGTGTTTCGCTGTGGTACTCTGATGTCGACACAAGTGCTGCTCTCCGAGCACAGCGCGAGCGGAGTCGGAAGACGTCATCTAGGTATCACTGACCTTTGTCCCCGCTCCCGTGCCCTTTTGAAAGGGAGTGTTACACTTTCACAGCTGTCGCTCTGTTCTCCCGCGCATGGCATAGACAGTCCCTCAGAGATAATCGTAAAGTTTGAAGGCAGTTGGCACGATGATTCGGTGCTCGGCCTAAAATGCTAGTAGGGCGCTATATAGTGGGGAAATGGCGAAAGAACGGAGTGAAACGGTCAAAATCCTGCGAAGAAAAAGCCTCCGTTCTCAGTGACTTGTAAATCGATTTCGGACGAGTTTCCCGTAGGCATCTTACCAATCACCGCTACCGAAGATACGGCTGCATATGTGTATATGTATGCATGCAGCACGGCCGCTTCATACCAATCCCTTCGCTTCATAATTTGCTTAGCAAATGAATGAATACGAGCGTCAGGAACGGTCGTCCATTTGTGGGCGGGCGGGCGTGGCGGGCGTTTGGGACGTAAAGTTGTGGCTTGATAGGGCCCTTATAAGGGCACCTTCCTCGGGGAAACCGCTATGCAGCGCCTGCCCATCGCGGAATTCTATCCTGCCAGGAGTATTGATCCTAGTCGTCTTGGGGATTTATCGTGCCAACTGCCTTTAACTTTTGAGTGGCCTAGACACCTCGACAGATCTTCATGCTTTTTGATCCGATCGAAAGAAGTTGATAGACATTAGCTCTGACAATCCCTGCGCAACCTTACAAAAAACATACTGAGCACTCCTATGTAGTGGCAGCGATGCCCACAGGCAGATGCGAAATGTGCTCGCACTAGTGGCAGGTGTGAAGGCAGGTAAACTACGTGTGCTTGTTACATATTCCGAAACAGTGTTAAAGCAGATGACGCGATAGCAGATATAGGACAAGATCCAGAAAACCTGAGGGCACAGCGTGAGGTGAAAGTCACTGGGTCGTGCAGGATATCAAACGAATAGCTGCGTGATCGCGGATCGAATATTAAAATTTTTTCATGGAAGCTCTAAATGACTGGTGTAAAGTGCACCATGTTCCTCGAATCAAAGCACTCGCTGGACAACTCTAGTAAGTCGTCCCGACAGACGGGCACGTTATTTCCGTCTTTTTAAGCAACTGCCTGCTCAGTGGGAGCGCAGATGTACTGACACTGTTGTAAAACTTTTCAAAAGCACTCTCATAAGGTGTTCATTTTTCATTATTTCAGGAGTTTGTCGATACTCTCGAAAGAAACAGCTCGAGGAAACATAAAGCTTTTATTCGCATCGGTCAATGGTACACGTCAAAACATTTATCGTCTTCTTGTGCCGTCCTCGAAGAAGATTCCACCGTCCAAGGCGCAATACCTGGGGCATATACCTGGGCATTACCTTTTTCGCAGCACTTCCGGCTTTTCCTGGTGGTCCAGGAGGTCCAGGATTTCCATCGGCGCCAGGAGCACCTGGAGCTCCTTTTGGACCTGGTGGGCCTACCGGTCCTGGTCCGTGGTGTTTTCCATCTTGTCCATCTGAGCCTGGAGGACCAGGCGGTCCTGGAGGTCCCGGAGGTCCAGGTTCTGCTTCAACACTATAGGATGACTCAGCTGCAGGTCCAGGAGCACCAGGATTTCCTGGCTGGCCGTCTCTTCCAGGAAGTCCCGGTGGTCCTGGAGGTCCTGGAGGTCCAGCTTGTCCTGCAGCCGCATGTGCTCCTGGCCTCACCAGGTGCTGCCGTCTGGCCTGGAGGTCCCTGGCTGACTGGCAGGACCAGGTGTTCTCTGGGCATGGCTTTGCAGGAGGAAAGAGTGATTTGCTCGCACAAGGCGCTGTGGGGCAGTTTCCTGGATTCCGGAAGTCCCAGGCACTCACTTGTTTACTGGACGTCCGCGGCTTCTCCGGATTTCCTCCCGGCCAGAGTGTCCTGGCTACATTTCAGTTGTGATTGCTAGGTAGCTGCAGAATGATACTCTTGCATGATGTTCAAAAAGGATTTATGAGAACGCTACCTTCCGCGTACGCTTGTCTGCGATAAAGTTGGGCAGCACGGGTCGTACGATTGAGCCTCGTCACTTTGTTCAGGTCAATCACTTCACGAGAAATTTCCCGAACAGATTGCTGCAATTTGATAGATTTTCTTCAAACAGTTATTTTCCCGAAGCGGAAAACTGGTGGTTTCCGCATTTCCTCAAACAACAACCCGCTGCTCTTTGACAAAATGGTCCGAACATCTCGGAGGGTAGAGAAGGAGAGCGAAAGTAACCTTTCAGTAGGAATACAATCTTACCCTACAATAATCAGATTCCTCTGTGAGACGGGCTTTTGCGTTCTCAGCGAATTGGTAGACCATCGGCAAAGTGATGCATATCGAAAATACCGAAGCCATGGAAAAGATGACAGCGCTGTATGCGACCATGCGGTACGCCTGCAATCCAAAGAATACTTGTAAACGATGGCTCATTGAGGAGAGCTCTGCTGCACATTTCAGCTGTTTTCCATTTGATTCCTAACGCTTTCATGGCGCGAAAGGGTGTGACACCACAACGAGCTAGCAGGTCGATGCAGGAGCACTAGTGCCCATTCTACATCCCACTTACCCTCATGTCAAAAACCCTTTACGGTTACTTTACTCCAGCAAATACGCCTCTACCTTATGACTCGGGTATAAACGACGCCTTACGCCTCAAAATCCCTAGTAATCTGATAAGTTGGGAGGAAGTCGCATAGAAGCTCAGTAGGGAAATCATCGTGCAAATGCTCTTTGTTCATAAAATCCGCAAAAGGCCCACGTCTTCATCCTTGGCCATTTTAAGTCACCAACAGGCTGCATCCTGACGTTTGTGACAGTTTCTGGCGAATATGGTCCCCTCCCACATAAACTTGCTGCCTCGGCACAACCCCCCCCCCCAGGAATTGTTTCCCAAAGGTTTTCCGCTGAGCTCGTAGGAATGGAACTCCTATTGAAGACTGATTTCGCGATGAACCAGCAAACAGTTCGTAAAGGGCGGGGTTGGAAACCAAAAGTCTACGTCCTGCCTCCTCTCCCGTGAAGAAAAAAGAGAGGAAACCATCGAAAAGTCTTCTAATAAGGGGCTACTAGTGCCACTCGAGAGATACTGAGTCTACGCGAACATCGGGTGGGAGACCAGAGAAAGGGGGAGAGCGCAAACGAGCAAGACAGCAGATGGGACATCTAGCAACTTGGGCGGAGTCACTGACTTTTTGGCGGAAGTCACTTGAGCATCTTGTGCTTTGCCGCTGCTACCTCACCTTTTTTCGATGTGAGACTTGTACAGGATTGTTAGCTGCACCCCACTCTACCACCCCATAAACAGCTTAGATAATTGCAAGTGATCATGGGCTCTATCTTTAAATGTGAGGAACGGTGGTCCTGCCGCTTCGCGCCTCAATTAGGGAGGATTCTCGTAGAAGCCCTTCAAGAAAAAAAGGACAAGAAACCAAATAAGAGAACACAGGCTCACGTTTGGGAGTGTTTTTTACCCGAAAATGATGTGCTTTGATTACATTTCACGTCAGGAAGGGTCTTATGATGGTTCAGGACGATACATGACAGACAGGCTCAAAATGTCGATAATGGAAAATTGATACTGGCCATCAGGGCACGATAACCCACAATCCCACAGAATATTTTTCCGTCATCATAACCGCTCCAAGTAGGTGCTCAGTGTGCAGCGAAACCTATGGCGCGTCGAAGCTAACTAAACAAGTAAGCTAGCCTTAGCTCATAATCTCACTTTTGTTCACGCAGGTACAGTTATTAGTGGCAATTGCAGAGATGAAAGGAAAAAAGAAGAGGTAGGTAAATGGATTTACCTTAAGCTTGATGTCGACGACCTCCATTGCGTTACGTGTTTGCCTAGGGAAGTTCAGCTCTTTTATACTTCTACTGAGATGGCTGTATGCGATAACCGACTAGTTCAATGTAGTAAATGAAACAGATACAAGCCAAGATTAGCAGTCATCCCTTTCCGAATACAATAATAGCGCCATTCAGCCAGATGCTATCGCTGCCTTCGAGGGCAGCGGTTGCTAATCTGGCTAAGAGTGTAAGGATTACATTACCAGTAGAAGGCGAACGTCGTGACTAAACGGGCGATGTGTAACGTTTCCGACGAAGAGATCTTGCTGCTATGGAAAACGGCACGGCACCCCTTTCAGAGACATCAGCAAGTTAGTTACTTGGAAAAGAACCAGGGCCATGAGGAAGCGCCTATTTTTCCGAATCCTGATCCGAATTCGCAACTTACTTTTATGCAGTTCTTGTCGAAGCTGTATGTGGGTAGGTGAGTACTATTTTCATTCTGCTGACTGCATATTAAGAGGATCAATGAGCTTGAATTATTCATTTCTTTCATTTAGGGGGACCTCCCTCAGAGCTTCTTTACAGGAGTGCCTCCTGTTGCCAACTCTATACTTCTGTTTTCCAGTCTGTCACCAATTTTCCGGCGGTTCGAGTCGCATATGTAGTTGTTTTTGTGCTTCCATTTGCTAGAGATATTCTTACTGAATAAACTTTTTTGGAAACAGCAGCTGGTTTCAGACAGCACCTCTGCAATGTTCGCACGGGCGGCTACCGTGACGCCGCCTGGACTTATGCTGCCTGATGATGGACCTATACATGGGATCTCAGGGTTCTTCATGAGTACCATTCCGGAGAGACTCATGTGCTGTAGTTTTCACCATTCCAACAAATTGGAGACTCGATAATAAAGTTGGACAGGCTGTGCGAGCCATAAAAAGGCCTTAGTCAAAATATATGCAATATAGCATTCAAATATTCTTCAGCTTCGGAGGGTAACTCCCACTGGGGAAAAATTCTGAATTTTTCTGGTGAAAATTCCTTAATTTTATTCCTAAATTTTGTGCAGTTTTGTCACAATCAAGTGTAAAAAAAATGGGCGACCGGCGCTTTTTATCAATGGGGGTGGGGGGCATTCTGCTTTTCATAGATTTGCCAACCCATCTAGGTACCTTTTTCGAGTTGACACGTTTTAGGATGGTGGCTAGACGATCTTGCTCCAGCTTCACAAGCGTTCACAAGTTTTACCAGAGTGAGATTTGTAAACCGGAACCAGGGAAGCAATTATAATACAAAATGCCCCCCCGTCGATAAACAGCACCTGAGCGACCTATACTACTAAACCCTCAGTCACCCTCCTTGCCCATCAGCGTTCCCTCTCACGAATCTACAGCTTTTCAGGCATCTGAACTCTGAGGGGCGGGCAGCTCATTCAGCTCTTGCTTCGCTACTGCACTTCATCAGACAAGCTTTATGTCCGCCCCAAGCTTATGTTTAGATGTGAAGGGATGAACTACTTGGGGGTACCGAGCGGAACCGTTCGCACCAGCACTTATGGTTTGGAATCACTGGAGTGGAGAAGAAGTAGAAATGATTCGCTAATGGTCTCTAAAGTACTGAAAAACTAAGCCAAAATGAAAGCAGATGATTTTTTTTTCGCGTGCTGCCTTCTAACCCAAGAGGGGCAGCCATTAGACTCGCATCTATATATATGCAAGGACTCACCTTAGATTGAAATTTTTCGGGAACGGAGTGTGTCCAAGGATGAATTCCCTTCTGCGGAAAAAAATGTCTTACCGTTGAAGCATCAATCTTTTAAAAGACATG